GTATTAGTGAGGGGTCTGGGGTCCTACCCCAGAAAATTTTGATATTAGTAGATGCAGTTTCCTGCATTCTGGTGTATTTTACAGGTTCCTAAACATACTTTTGTCTACATTAAAACACTTGATTAAATAACTAAATTAGAGACAGATTTTAGTTGAATCATCCTGTTTTTAAACTCACTGCTGTGGCTCAGATAATGAAATTAAGGTGACAATTTATCYCAAACAATGACTTTAGAGGATAMTTTTATTTTATATTGTTTGTTCTTCATTTAGTTTTATTTGTAACATGTCATTGTGCCAAGMAACTGCATGTTTAAAGTGTTAACTACACAATGAACAGATCATTTATTTTTCTGATTAAAYGCTCCTAACAAACTGACATGACATCATGCAGCCTTTGTGTCAAACAGTGGTCATATAAAATATAACTTTCATTAGTTTTATCATCCTGTAAATATTAATAAAAACTGATACATGGATGTTTGGAACTGATCAGAAATCTAATGATGCATGAATTGACAGATTTATTTATTGATGTTTATTTAACCAGGAAAATCCTAATTATGAAAAACAATTTCTACCACTTTCTAGAAATAAAACTTAAATAAAGCTGTTAATCATGCTGTAGATTATGCTTTTAGATACATAATTTCTTTCAAGTTCACACAGCTGACTAGAATGTACTCAAAATAAATGTTAATTTGATTGAACATTTTATATTTCATTCACACCTGCCCAGCACCTTCACCGCTCACCTGACAGAACTCTACCTGCTGAATCTGCCTCTGACTCTCAGCTCCTACATCAACAGACATGGACATGGATGGATTAAATATTGATAGATTAAGTATTGGGTTATTTTTACTGTCACCTGAAGTCAGCATAAAGTCAAGAAAATATCATGAAATAACATAAATAAATTAACAGATGACCACTTTTTCTTTCCATGATCCTATTGTTAAAAGTTAGTTCTCTGCTCATGAAGCACTGTTTTTATGTAGAAAATACTGAAACTCTAAAAAAATTAACATTTTATTCTTGCTAATAATATAAGCATTACTACTTTAAATGTTTGAATTGACCATTTTCTGCAATTTACTAGCTTCAGTTTCCTTATTCTTGTCATTAAAATACAGTTTAACTGATTAAAAACACCTCAATAATAGGTTTTAACTCATCACTGAACTTAAATTATWGCTAACATTAATGGATCACCTGGACTAACTAACTGCACTAAGTTTTCATAGAAAAAAACTGTCGTGGGGAAATTTTGATTTATTTTACTGTTCTTTGTAAAGACTACAGTTTTACCAAAAGCTGGACATTATCAGAGGAGTCGTACCTCTTCCAGTTGTAGCCTGGAACTCATTGTTTATGCTGCAGAAGGCAGCCCGACACGACACGCACAGCCTGTGTGTGTGTGTGTGTGTG